CCGCCTGCTTCCTGCCCCTGGTCCCCCAGCCTTGGCCTCTTGCCCTGTCCCCTGTCCCTGTCCCCTGTCCCCTGTCAATCATTCCCTGTCCCCTGTCCCTACCCCCTGTCCCCTGTCAATCATCCCCTGTCCCTATCCCCTGTCCCCTGTCACTCATTCCCTGTCCCCTGTCACTCATTCCCTGTCCCCTGTCACTCATTCCCTGTTCTGTCACTCATTCCCTGTCCCTTGTCCCCTGTCCTCTGTCATTTATTCCTTGTCCTTCTCCCTGTCCCTTTTTCCCTTTTCCCGGAAATCCCGGAATCCTGAAGCAATCCCACAACAAATCCCAAAATCCCAGAACAAATCCTGAAATGAATCCCAGAATCCCGGAATAAATCCCGGAATGAATCCCAGAATCCCAGAATGAATCCTGGAATCAATCCCGGAATGAATCCCAGAATGAATCCCGGAATTAATCCCAGAATCCCAAAATCCCAGAATGAATCCTGGAATGAATCCCAAAATCCCAGAATGAATCCCAGAATGAATCCTGGAATCCCAAAATCCCAGAATGAATCCTAAAATGAATCCCAAAATCCTGGAATTAATCCCGGAATTAATCGTGGAATGAGTCCTGGAATAAATCCCGGAATGAATCCCACAATCCCAGAACAAATCCCGAAATTAATCCTGGAATAAATCCCAGAACAAATCCTGGAATGAATCCCAGAATCCCAGAATGAATCCTGGAATTAATCCCGGAATGGATCCTGGAATCGATCCTGGAATCCCAAAATCCCAGAACGAATCCTGAAATGAATCCCAGAATCCCAGAATGAATCCCAGAATTAATCCCGGAATTAATCCCAGAATAAATCCCGGAATCCTGGAATAAATCCCGGAACAAGTCCTGGAATAAATCCCAGAAAGAATCCTGAAATGAATCCCGGAATCCCAGAATCCCAGAATTAATCCTGGAATTAATCCTGGAATGAATCCCAGAATGGATCCCAGAATGAATCCCGGAATGGATCCTGGAATGGATCCTGAAATGATTCATGGAGTGGATCCTGGAATGGATCCTGGAATGGATCCCGGAATGGATCCTGGAATGTATCCCGGAACGAATCATGGAATGGATCCCGGAATGGATCCTGGAATGGATCCCGGAATAGATCCTGGAATGGATCCCAGAATAAATCCTGGGATGAATCCCGGAATGGATCCTGGAATGGATCCTGGAATGAATCCCTGAATGAATCCCAGAATAAATCCTGGAATGGATCCCGGAATGGATCCCAGAATAAATCCTGGAATGGATCCCGGAATGGATTCTGGAATAAATCCTGGAATGAATCCCGGAGTGGATCCCAGAATAAATCCTGGAATGGATCCCGGAATGAATCCCAGAATAAATCCTGGAATGGATCCCGGAATGGATCCCAGAATCCCACAATGAATCCCAGAATGAATCCCAGAATAAATCCTGGAATAAATCCCGGAATGAATCCTGGAATGGATCCTGGAATAAATCCCGGAATGAATCCTGGAATGAATCCTGGAATGGATCCTGGAATAAATCCCGGAATGAATCCCAGATTAATCCCGGAATCCCAAAATCCCAGAAGGAATCCCAGAATCCCGAGGGAATCCCGGCTGTTCCTCTGTGAAAAACGAGATTCACATTTTTTAATAGAATTTAAAATTTTAATTTAAAAAAAGACAATTAAGAGATAAAAATTGTGAAAAACGAGATTCACAACATTTTTTAACAGAATTTAAAATTTTAATTTAAAAAAAGACAATTAAGAGGTAAAAATTGTGAAAAACGAAATTCACTTAGTTTTATAGAAATTAAAAGTTTAATTAAAAGAAGACAATTAAGAGATAAAAATTGTGAAAAACGAGATTCATTTAATTTTTAGAGAAATTAAAAGTTTAATTAAAAAAAGACAATTAAGAGGTAAAAATTGTGAAAAACGAGATTCATTTAATTTTTAGAGAAATTAAAAGTTTAATTAAAAATAGACAATTAGGAGATAAAAACCGTGAAAAACGAGATTCACTTAATTTTTATAGAAATTAAAAATTTAATTAAGAAAAGGCAATTAGGAGATAAAAAAACGAAGATGAATTAACAGACCCGGCCAGGGGTCTCTGCGTTCACCTCGCCGACAAAGGATTGTTCCTTTAAAAACGCAATCCTACTGCGTATCCCGTTCTCTTAATTAATTATTAATTAATTAACTAATCGATGAATGAATCAAGTAAAATGTGTTATTCATAAATAAATAAATAAATAAATATTATAAATAAATATTATAAATAAATATTATAAATAAATAAATATTATTTTAAAATAAATAGATAAATAAAAATAGCTGTAATATAAATATAAATGTAAATGTAAATATAAATATAAATAAAAATTATAAATATAAATATAAATATAAATATAAATATAAATATAAACAAATTGTAAACATATATAAATAATATAATATAAATAATAAATAATAAAATAAATATTAATATTATTAATCATAAATAAATAAATCATAAATATAAAATTATAAATAATATAAGTAAATCATAAATTAAATATTAATTAATAAATAAAAATATATAATAAATAAATAAATAAGTATAAATAAATGTATTATAAATAAATAAATAAAAAATAAAGAATTTAAAAATAAATAATTTATGAATAATAAATAAATAAAACATATTAGAAATAAATAAGTATAAACAAATATATTATAAATAAATAGAGAAGTAAATAGATAAATAAATATATTCTAAATAAAAAATAAATTAGAAATAAATAAAAACATTTTTTTATAATTTTATATAATTGTTATAATATATAATATCTTCTAATGTGTATTAATTTTATTATTAATTAAATAAGTTTATAATTTTTATTATTATATAATATAGAGTATCTTATAATGTGCATTAATGTTATTAATAATTAAATAGTTTTTTTATATTATTATTATAATATAGAATATCTTCTAATGTGTATTAATTTTATTAATAATTAATTAAATTTATTATTTTTATTTTTATTTAATCATTATA